ACTTGGCTGCCGTTAATATTGAGCAGACTGCTCCTGTTCCTGGGACTTGTTCTTTCTTCTATCAAATATGCTCTGGCCATTCTCACTGTCAGCTATACTCAGAGTGAAAGACTTAAAAAAGGTGCAAACGAAGCCATTCGCATTATTCTTGTGTGCCCAAGAGATTCATGTTATGTAGCAGTGAGATACCTTCTTGACTTAACTATAACGAACTGCCTGATCAAGATATAGAAGGCTCGCGCATACCTCAAGATAAGCTCTGAATTGAAGCACCCTTTGCACCACATGCTCTTCATGAAAAAGGACAACACATTAAAAAAGGGGGCAAATCATGTCTGGATAGAGCAGAGAATGACATTAAGCAGGTCTGCAGTTTTACATACATCCACCCAAGTTAGGAACGGGTACAAGTGCCTAAAGCGCTCAACCTCACCTTTTCCTGTGTCGTCACGCTTGAGTTTTCGGGAGCAAAATTATGTTGCTGCCCAGGCCGTGGTCTGTGCGCTTATTAGTGAAAGTCAGATGAGACAGATGAGCTGATCCACACAGGCGGATCCGTTATGCGAGGACATAAGATCATTTACAGCTTGCTGGACAGTTAAGATCATTTACAGCTTGCTGGACAGTCCAAGAAGCCCGGGGTACCTTCCCCGTGACTACCTGCAGGATGACGATGGAGGCGCAACAAACTTTCATGTGGCTACAATCACAGGACCATTCCCGTTTGAATGTGCTGAGTGATTCTATGAGCATGATCCGGCGGGTCGAAGCTGGCTCCATTGGGTTGAGTGATTGCAAAACTCTCTTCTGGGTGCAGTTACTTTCATATTTGCCCCAGGAAAGTCAGGTGTTGGCAATAAAAAAGATTATAGATTGGCAGGTACTACAATAATTTTAGACGACTTGTCCATTGATCACACACAGTCAATACCATTAAAAAGATGGGACGTTCTGAGGATTTTGGAAGCAATATGTCTGCATTACTGCTAGGAATACGATATTTAAGAGTAAAGTTCAGCAAATCCAAGCATAAGAAGCACACCGGACGCACACAAAGTCTTTTCAACCAGCACAGGATGGCACTATAAACTTCGCAACGCTCATGACTAATTTAAAAGGGAAATCTGAGTACCTATGGGTGCTGTGAAGATAATCCAACTCATAATTCAAATGTTTGGTTGTTTGAAATTAAAATTAGGGGAACAAACGAAACAATTACCATCTTAGTAGCCAATAGGGTTATTGACTCTTGTTTTACATTGGAAATTTTGTCGCGTTGCTTTTAGTGCACTGTAAAGGTATAACCCTTTTTTTCGGTTAGTTGCGTATCCTTTACAGAACGTTGCAGAACCAACCCTAACAGCCCCTGGCTGTTGTGTGGTTTGTCTAGGCAAACTTACGTCCAGTAGTTTGCCATTGCTTACTGTACGGTCGGCTTTCTTGATACCACTGTCGAAACCAACGCAAGGCGCGTGGCCCGCAGTTGGGATCGAACACGGCATCCCGGCATTGCGAAGCGTTCGCATCGACTTAGCCACAGAGCCGACTATATAACCCCAACCCGCCAGTATTCACACAAGGAGACTGACCTTTCAGGGCCCGCCGACCCCCAAGATAGCTCTTTTCAGAGCGTCGGTTCAAGCTGAACTTTATGAGTTGCTGAGTGAATTACACGAGACAGTGAACCTTATACTAGAGATAATACTGTAGATATGGATAATCTATTTCAGACGAACGAACGGAAGAAGAAGAGGAGGAAGAGGAAGAAGAAGAAGAAGAAGAAGAAGAAGAAGAAGAAGAAGAAGAAGAAGAAGAAGAAGAAGAAGAAGAAGAAGAAGAAAAAAACCTTAACCCCATAAAAAAAATAGCACATGCCAGGGAACTTCCGAACCAAATGTTGCAGTCCCCGAGATGGGGGTGAAAAGACGGAAAAGAGCCTAGACTTCTTATAACAGGAGTGCTTTCTGGACTGGATGTAGAAAATATCCATTCACTTTGGCTAGAACCCCCATGCACTTCGTCTGCCCCTCAACACAGATCCATCTGTATCACATCACCTTGGCGGGAATTGTCATGAATCATTTGTTGAACATTTGATTCTGCAGCGATAGCTGGTCAGTCCCTGCACTTACGACCTAAAGTGATTAGAACCCTACGCAAATCTGATTTTTGCTCAGACACTTTAACCCACTCCGCTCCTCACTTAAATGTATTAAGCCTGCACACTGGTTTAATTGTCTTCAGCTTGCTGGCAGAACTTTGATCCTATCTGCAATATTAGGCAGTGCACGTGAATATCGCATACATACTACTGTCTGGAGTTAAGCTTATTATGTAACAAGATTTGTTGCAGCATAAGTTCAGCATTGAAGCTTCTGTTTGCATCTACAAAGGAGTGGTCATCGGCTAAACAGTGAGAACATTATGTTAGCATACCAGGACTTAGCTAGACGCTCGCCTGCTGACTGGAAGGTCGTAGGTTCGGATCCTGAGCTTCTCAGAAATAGACCTTGACTCCCAGCCTTAAGTGGGTACCAGATGCAATCCTGGAAGGTAAAGTTGGACGGCAGGATGCTGACCAAATCACCCACCAAGTACCGATTGGTCTATAAATTATAGGTCTCGCCCTATATGCCTGTAAAAAGTAAAGATCCTTTTACACGCCCTTAAGCGCATCGGGCATATGGGAAGAGCACCCATTTTTTTGACAGACCAATCGGCACTGGGTGGGTCATGTGGTCAGCATGACCTATTTGCCTGCTGAAGGCGCGGGGAAAATGTCCTCTATTGACGTTTTTGCTCCTTTATTGTAGGCTGCCAGTATTGAATATTTGTAATGTAAGGGGAAAAACAAATATGACCTTACCTTCGGTAAATAACACATTCTTATAGAATATCGGTGGGGGGAAAGGGAAGAGGGGGGGGGGGGGTGCTGGCCCAAAAAAGTCAAGTTCAAATATGCATAAACGCTGGACCTATCCTAACGGCTCATGGGAAGTAAATGCTGCCGGCCTCATATTGACATCACCAACCTACTTTAAAAAAAAAAAACGTCATTTTACTTATTCAAATGAATTGGTCAAGTTCAAGGACACACCCAGTTACATCAAGGTACGTGAGTTGCACATTCACAGGTGATAACACACGAGGCAGCTGGTGAAGAAGGCAAGTAAAAGACAACTGTGTTGTGGCACAAACGGACAATGACTCTTTGGTGCTGCTACAGGGAGATTACCTGTTGGTCAGCTACTGGGGTTTTTTTTTTTTCTTCTCAACTTCAATCTATTTCAGCCTACGTCTGTTCAAACACTTGATCAGCAACACATCCATGAGAGTTGAAATCGGTTTCTGTTTTAAATATTTGTACCAGCTTGTTTGTTTTCTGCAGGAAACTTAACAAAAAGAGACAATCACAAATAGAGACATTAAAGCAGAGACAATTGGTCAGGGAGAAAAAGAGCTAGAGAAGGAAGGAGAGATGAAATAGCAATAAAGCCAACATGTATGATCAATTACAGAGACAGACAGTAAAACATCTCAGCTCACATACACAACACCAAATGCAACACACGATGACAGAAATAATTTATTTCATTTATCATGATATTTCTCAGAGAAATCCCATAATCATCATCAAGATTGCAACATTGCCCATTTCCACACAGTGTGATGATAGTGATGAGTAGTTCATGAATATTTACAATGCGGTGAGAATTACCTACAGATGTAGACGTGCACTTCTTGTCTGCTTGAGACAGACAGGGTCACTCTGACTCCTGTCACAGAAAGATACTCCTGGTCATGGCGTAAAAGAAACGGTGCCTGATACAAAAATAACACTAGTAGAAACTTGTTCTAGACACGGCAGACATCCTGGAGACTATTTATGAATGAATGCTGATGGAAAATATGATGTAAGATAAAACAACATATGTCAGGTTACATGAATGAGGAATTCAGTGTAGATCCAGTAAAAAACACAATGGTTGTATGAGAGGATGAGTACAACATGTGTAGGTCCAGTAAAAAACACAATGGTTGTATGAGAGGATGAGTACAACATGTGTAGGTCCAGTAAACAATACACAATGGTTGTATGAGAGGATGAGTACAACATGTGTAGATCCAGTAAACAATACACAATGGTTGTATGAGAGGATGAGTACAACATGTGTAGGTCCTGTAAAAACACAATGGTTGTATGAGAGGATGAGTACAACATGTGTAGATCCAGTAAACAATACACAATGGTTGTATGAGAGGATGAGTACAACATGTGTAGGTCCAATAAAATACACAATGGTTGTATGAGAGGATGAGTACAACATGTGTAGGTCCAGTAAACAATACACAATGGTTGTATGAGAGGATGAGTACAACATGTGTAGATCCAGTAAAAAACACAATGGTTGTATGAGAGGATGAGTACAACATGTGTAGGTCCAAACAAATACACAATGGTTGTATGAGAGGATGAGTACAACATGTGTAGGTCCAATAAAATACACAATGGTTGTATGAGAGGATGAGTACAACATGTGTAGATCCAGTAAAAAACACAATGGTTGTATGAGAGGATGAGTACAACATGTGTAGATCCAGTAAAAAACACAATGGTTGTATGAGAGGATGAGTACAACATGTGTAGGTCCAAACAAATACACAATGGTTGTATGAGAGGATGAGTACAACATGTGTAGGTCCAATAAAATACACAATGGTTGTATGAGAGGATGAGTACAACATGTGTAGGTCCAATAAAATACACAATGGTTGTATGAGAGGATGAGTACAACATGTGCACAACCAGTGTGCTACTGGAAAGTCAGCATCTATACCTTGAGACAATTGCTGTGATTGTGTTCAGTTTTCTCTCAGTTCATAATACAGTAATCAGTCAGGTCTCTAGATACTGTCCTAGAAGGTTGGAACTCCCAGCTCTGTGCACACAGTTAAACAAATATATACATATTTATAATACAGGTAACAATCTGTAATGTTTATTTCTTCTGAGCTTTCTCTTTCTTTGCTCCAGTCTTTTTGGGTGCAGCCTTCTTAGGGCTTTTTGGTTTCTTGGGTTTTGCAGCGGCTGCAGGTTTTGGAGATTTGGCTTTTTTCGCTGCTGCTGGCTTCTTAGGGGAAGGCTTTTTGGTTGGCTTTTTGGCACTTGCAGCTTTCTTGACTTTGGGTTTCTTGACCTTGCCTGGTGACTTTGGTTTGGCCGATTTAGGCTTAGCTGCCTTCTTTGGTGGCGATGTCTGTTTGGCAGATTCTTTGGAGCCAAGCTTAAAGGAACCAGAGGCTCCTGTACCCTTGGACTGCTTCAGGTTGCCATTCTTAGCACCAGCTCGCAGTGCCATCTTGAGATGACTGTTGATCACCTTCTCATCCTTGCCCACATTGTAGTTGGCCACGATGTACTTGAGGATGGCTTGACGAGAGGAACCTCCCCGCTCTTTCAGGTTCGTAATGGCAGCCTAAAACAAGAAAACAATATACATTCAACTGCATATAACCTATATGTATCATTATATATAAAACTTTTTTTTTCAACACCAGTTAACCCTTTCACTTTCCCAGACACCACATACTTCAGTGTACACTTATTTGTGTCATTCTGGTTCAGACTTTATGCCCTCTCTATTGCTACTGCTTCTTGTCGTTAAATTTCCTAATGGTACACTGGCCTTTAATCTCCTCATACAAAGTCCTCTGTAGATTTCTACATTACATTAATCTCTGTGTTAAGTAAGATGTCTCATATATAGCCTTGCTTATCAATCCCTTATGTGCCAGGCAGGTTACAGCATTGCTTTGGCAATAACCCCCCCCCCCCCCCCCGATAATTTTTGGGGGAAGATAAAGCAACCACCTAACTTTCAAATATATTATTTCCTCATGCCTGTCAGCCCATAATAATAATTATTACTGTACAATTATTAAACAAGGCTCAGCCCCCTTGAGGCATACCCCATATATATGTGTGTGTGTGTATATATATATATATATATATATATATATATATATATATATATATATATATATAAATAAGAGTTTTTATATACTAAGTATTATTTGAAGTACATTATTATTTGCATTCAGCACATAAGAATAATAACATTTTGGTTGCACACTTATACAAGGCCCAGTGTAGCACCCCCTCCCCTCCCCCCAATACTTTCTGAGAGCTGCTGAAATCACTGTTATTATTACTGCACAATTAAACAAGGCCTTAGTGCCCAACCTCCTAAATGTTTTCACCATAGCAGCGTACCAATATATATATATATATATATATATATATATATAGGCATGTTTTCCTTACAGTACAGTGCTGTATTCTTTTGCTCCTAGGTTGGACCCTTATAGTGCTTCTGTTGACAGTTCTTAATGGTGAACACCGGCACCTTTTTTCCCTAGCAAAACAGCCTTGTATGTGGAGAGAGAGAGAGGGGGGGGGGGAGTCTGTGTGTGTGTGAGTGTGTGGGGAGAAGACCAGTAATAGTACTACTAATAAACAGAAGCTAAACTAAAGTGTAGGGGACGATAGACTAGTGAAGCGTCAGAAAAATTATAGTTTTACTAGAGTACTGAAGCTAATTTTAAAAAAAAGGAGGGGGGGGGTGGGTTGGGAGACAGTAGAGTAGACGTATAAACTGCGGTGCTGTCTTTGTTCCTGTGGTAAAAAAATTTTAAACATTAAATATCATGTTCACTTTAAAAACCAAAACAGTTTCTGAACAGACGGCCTGGTTTGCTTACCTTGATCATGTCCGAATATTTTGGATGATTTGCTGGCTTCTTGCTCTTCGACTTGCTGCCAGCCGCTTTTTTCTTTGAAGCTTTGGCTGGTGTGGCAGCTGGCGTTGCTGAAGCTGCAGATGTAGCATCATCCATTTTCACTGAGTTTGTTTACCTCACGTAAGCACAGATAACAACAAACTAGCCGAGGGAAATGTCTGCTGTTGTCCCGACAACTGTAACTGTTAGACGGGAAACATTGCGTAACCAGGGACAAACTGCCGCTGGCGGACGTCCGAGAAAGCCGTGGCTGAGGTCGCGCCATCAGCTGCCAGTGGCCGGCCTGTTTGTGCGTGTTTGTGTTTCCTACCCGGGTTTGCTTTCATTTTAAATGTTACATAACATTTGTTTTATTGTCTATTCCGTTTAAATCGCTTACTAAGATATCAATTAAAACATTTATGTTGTTTTAGAGCGGTGCGTTTCATTTATTTTTTCCCGAAACCTGTCTTTTATAACGGTTGGTCTTCTGGAGTTTATTGAGTAGTCGCACAAAATTCGTAGATTCAGTTTATGCCTTAAGCAGATTTAACCGCAAATTTCAAATTGTGTAATCTAGACATTATTCTATATTTATCTTCTGATAAACATGTGAAGTTTGGTTTATTTTATCGCTATCTGAATATAAACTTTTACTCAACAAACACAAAATCGTTATTTCGGTCGCCATTTTCTATGTAGATGATTTATATAGCCAACGTGAAACAGTGTTTTTCACACATAAAAACCTCATCGGTCGTTGTAACTTGTGTAGCAAATTAAACATCTGACTCATATATGTATATTCCACAGTAGTTTTTGTTCTAAACTCTGATCTAAAATAAAACTAAGCGCAAAATGCCGTCACCCACAAACCTGAATTAAGCAGCCATGGTGGATGTCATGTTGGCCAACACTCGAAGATGAGAGTTGGTTATTTGTTCCACTGTAACGCCAGACTCGTCGATCTCATCATTATCTATGTTTAACAAAAAAAATGACACAAGCATAATATACTTCTAAAATGTGGCACTGCTGTAGTGTAATTACCGCACATCGCAGACAAACGAACCATACCCCGCTGACTTCTACCTCCGGATATAGGTCAACAATTCTACGTATTTCATGTTTACGATCGCGCTCATGATTGTATGTGTATGTCTTTTGTATTTTTAAATAGTTTTGCACTTACAACCACATCTGTTTAGTTGTCTAACCATATACTGTTCTCACTAGACGATATAAACCACTACCCGTTCTCAAACATATTTGCATAAACATACACGGCTGTTGCATGCAAACTTTACTGAGGATTGCCTTCCTAAATTTGTTGACTTTATACATACAAGACATTTTTTTGCACCTATGTTTTGTTTCTTAATAATTTAATAAATGTACGGCTGAATAGTAATTTTTGGTATATTTAGACAGGAAAACGCAGTAAGTAAGTACATTTTACCCCACCAGGACATCACACAGAGCGACAAACACCAAGTGACACAAAGTGTCAACATGCGGATGAGGATCACCTGTGGAGAGGTCCCAGAAACCGCAATCAACGGTCAGGCTATATTGCGGCCCCCGGAAAAATTCAGGATGGGGGCTTCAAAATAATGCAAAATTGCGTCTCACATGGCACGACCTTGGTTTCTACAATAAAAACGATTAGCCTGACCAACATCAGAGTTGCCAGATATTGACGAAGAAAAAAAAAATTTAATATTTATTTATTGAGCACACTGTAATTTATTAATAGTCAGTTGGGTTATCTGCACGACACTCCTGAAAGATTGCCTTTCCAACATAATCCAGCCGTTAATGGTGCAAGTCTTGTGCTGGTTGACAAGGCTTTCAAGTCCGGTGTGCCTCTCACTTGTGGCTGTGTCGATCTTTAGGTCCCTTATGACTTTCCCTTCCCTGCTTGGTCCGAACCTTGGACTATTTTATAATGTTCGGGGGGGGGGGGGGCAGTAAAACCATTAGGTTGAAGGGGTCTGACCGGAACTTCTGTATGCAGCATTTTAATCAGGGCTGGGTTAAGACCCTTTGATGCTCTCGAATAGTGGTTCTCAAACTTCCTATCGCCGCCACCTTTCAATACAGTTGCTCATGTTGTGGCCAGCCGCAACCATTACATTAATTTCCCTGCTACTTCATAACTTCAGTGAATACGTGTTTTCCATTGGTCTTCGGCGACCAGTGTCAATGGGTCGTTTGGTCCTCAAAAGGGTCGCGATCCACAGGTTTAAACCCCCCCCCCTCCCCCTTATGCTGGAGCCCGAACGACAACTACTCACAGAAATGAAATGTAAATGCTCATTTGACATACACAAATTAGTAGTTGCCGAAATGAAACCAAACTTACAGTAAGATGGGACTTAGTGTCTGTAATAATATTTCTGTCTAAAAGTTAGTTTGGTTTCATCCACAGGACGTTGCAGAACCATCCATAGCATTTTTTTTTTTTTCTGTTGGGGTTTTTCTAGGCAAATTTTACTTTTGCCATTGCTCACTGAATGGTCAGCTCTCGGTACCACTGTCGAAACCAACGCAAGACCAATCGTTCGCAGCTGGAATCGAACCTGGCACCCCGGAACCGCCTAAACCACGGATGCTGATCTATTGCTGTACACTCCCACTGTATTTATATTTGAACAGTTCCAATCTGTTCAACACTCAGGGTAAAGGTGAGACGGTTACACAATCAGACGGTTACTGGTACTATCTGAATTGGAACTCTTAGGTTGTTGCTGAAGATAGGGACTGAGCACTTATGGGAGTGCCCCGAGTGCTGTGATGTCGATATTCAACATCCAATCTGACTGTGCACATCTGCGTCTATAATTTACAGAGATAAGGCATCAGATCGACCCCGCTTGTTACTCTCATAGGATTTGTGTAACTGCGCTTCTACTCGGATAATAAAGGGTCAGCTCCAAGGCTATAGAAAAAGTATGTGGTGCCCGTCTCTTTGTGATGCCCTAAGCACGTGCTTAGTGTGCTTAATGGTTAATCCGGCCTATATTCTAATCCCTGAGATGTTAATCCTGCGGCGAACTGCCATCTTGGAGGGGACAAACTACATTACAACTTGATCCACAATTTTCGCATCGCTTTAAGCAGCCTCTATAATCTCTCTTCTCTACAGCTACGCCCCTGTTCTTCTATTGCTTCTCTTTTTCATGTTTTGTCAAAATTTAATTCTTAGTTAAAATGCAAATCATATATGACACATGTTCTAGCTAACTTTGTCGGGTTATCACCACTATCAACATTTGATTGCCGTCCAAACATGGGACGCAAGTTTTCATTATTTGAAAGCCCCTTCCCGACTGTTGTCAGTGGCTTCTCATAACCTAACGGTTCAACATGGTTTCTAGAACTTGTACCTAGGTAACCCTCATCCGAATGGTGGCACTTTGTGTCACGGGTGTTGATCGCTCCTTGTACAGTTTTAGTGGGGTTGAACAACGCTCATATCATCAATATAGCTGATTTTGTTAGGTTCAACAAACAGATTTCACCAAAAATTTATGAATGGTGACCCCCCCCCCTCAGCGCCCTCTCATGTCCTTTCTGCCTAACGTTCTCCTCCTCTCTATATTAGAAGCAAAGCCTCAGCCAAAGTGACCAGAAAAATAAAGAAAAAGAGTTCGTTAGGCGGGGACTAAGACCTTGTGTTTTAGCCCTGGCAGGA